TATATATATAGTTTATATAGTACATTTGTTAATGCATTAAGTAATATGAACTAAAATGGGCAATATATTTTTTTACAGTATTTATTAATCTTTGTTAATATAAATACAACTATTTATTGCTAGTTCATGTTAGCTTAGGTCTATTAAATAATAATAACAGATACAACTTTTCATTTTAATCATTTATTAGTAGATTGTTTGTTTAATATTAAGATTAATTTAATTAATTTAATATAGAAGATTTTTTCATTGTTAGTTCATGTTAACTAATGCAGTTAACTAATGTTAATAAATGGAACCTTATTGTAATGTTACCATTCATATTAATTATTAATTAATATTTAAGTGGGATGATTTTTTTAATGATGGGTTTAATCGTGTCACACTCAAACATATAGCGGATACACTACTGTTCAAATGTTTGGGGCCAGTAAAATTTGTTTTTTTTAAATAAACATTTTTCAGCAAGGATGCATTGAATTGATCAAAAGTGACAGTAAAAACATTTATAATGTTCCAAAAATGTCTATTTCAAATTTCTATTTCAAAAGTTATTTTGAACTTTCTATTTATCAAAGAATCCTGAAAAGAATGTGTCACTGTTTCCACAAAAATATCAACAGCACAACTGTTTTCAACATCAGTAACAATAAGAAATGTTTCCTGAGCAGCAAATCAGCATATTAGAATTTCTGAAGGATCATGTGACACTGAAGACTGGAGGATTGATGAGGAAAATTACATTTTAAAAAGTAATTCAAAAACAGTCATTATAAATTCTAATAATATTTCACAATATACCTGTTTTTACTGTATTTTTGATCAAAGAGATACAGCCTTGGTGAGCATAAGATACTTCTTGTAAAAACATTAAAAAATCTTCCTGACCCCAAATTTAGTTTTGAGCAGCTGGATTTTATTAGAGCAAACTGCAGCTGGACACAATTGAACAGAACAGAACAGTGGAGATTTCACTTGTGTGGCCTATTTTCAAGTCTCTGACATTCAGCCTACATCAAGTGGTCCATTCATGCGCTGTAAGTACATGTAGTTTAAAAAAATCCCTGTGGTTTCACAATTTCTTCCATCAGTTGACCGCTTTAGACTTTAGACTCTTCCATCTCCTCTCTCGGTTGCTTGGCAAGAACAGTATAAACAGCATTAGGACCATCTTTGGGCTTCTTCTCTCCATCTAGAGGTATGTTTGTGACCTTTGCCTGTTCCCGACTGTAATAAAGATGACAAACACAACATCTATGGCCTTAATATGACAGAGGACTGGCGCAAACCAGCACACATGGACTGTGTGATTGTGTTTAACCTGGGCATGCGAGAATAATGCACCGTAATGTAGTTGATTTTTCCCTGTTCCTCAGCGCTCTGAGTAGCTTCTTTCAGGGGCACGATGGAAGGTTGGCTGCTTTCATAAATCTCCTCCGGCTCCTCCTGAACCAGGCACAAAATAAAACACTCATGAGTTTGGAGAGTATGACTCAATTCATATACTATCCATCCTTAAAGAGGACTTTGGATGCAAAATTCACTTTTACTGTACATGGTGCTTGCATATAAATGTGTCTTAGCAGTGTGTGGATACAACCACCCTACAATGATAGAAATCCATTCACTCCTTTTTTTTTAATTCCCAAAAAAATGATACAGACTCAATTATCAAGCCGTTTTGATTTTCTGAGCAGTATGACGTCATAGTGCTTAGGCCCTGCCCACGACAGCCGATGGACTGTCCCGTATTAGCATATTTACGCATATTTGGGCATCCGATGTACAATCAGTGCATCACAAATCACAGAACATTATACAACTTTAGCGTATAGTGCCTGTCATGCAATACTATTTCTGGTATAGATTTTCAAACTTTTGAAACACATACATGATTGTTTTTGGGTTAATGTTGTTATTAATGAATTGTGCAATGGAAGAAGATGAGGCTGAGACTTTTTTGTTGAGCAAAGGTGCTGAGTTTTTTAAAAGTATAAACCTAAAAGTTATGTAATGATGAATTTTGAGATAGGAAATTAAGCTAATAATAATAATGCCCGGTGGTATAAAGACTATTTCATTATGATATAGTATCTTACTACATACTGAAAAGTGTATCTTGTTTCCAGCGCACATACTTTTAGTCTGTTTAGTCTGTACATTCTGTTTAGTCTGTACATTCTGTTTAGTCTGTGAATGCACAGTGCTCTCTCCCACCTTCAATACCACGACTGAGGTGCCCTTGAGCAAGGCACCGAACCCCCAACTGCTCACCGGGCGCATTGATCCGGTGCCAGGTGTAGTTCTCCACCGCCGGATTGGCCTGACTGATGCAGGTCAGCGTCAACGAGCTGCCCGCTTCGATCACAGTGGAAGGCCGTGCCAACACAGAGGTGTTTTTGGGGGCATCTGAGAGTGAGAGAGAGATGGGGTGGAGTAAAAAAGTGCAGTAAATTGTTAAACTATTTGCACCACAAACCATTGAGTATAAAACGGAAGCTTAACTTGCAATAAACTTGCAATTCTGAGTTTTCTCCACAGTGGAAGGCCGTGCCAAGACAGAGGTGTTTTTGGGGGCATCTGAGAGTGAGAGAGAGATGGGGTAGAGTAAAAAAGTGCAGTAAATTGTTAAACTATTTGCACCACAAACCGTTGAGTATAAAACGGAAGCTTAACTTGCAATAAACTTGCAATTCTGAGTTTTCTCACAATTTCAAGTTTATTGTTGCAATTCTGATTTTTTTTTTTTGTATTGTTTATATCTCGCAATTATGACTTTTTTCTCTGAATTTTGAATTTTGAATTTACATCTTGCAATTCTGAAGTTTTTTAATTCAATGGCGGAAACAGGCTTCCATAGAATTGCAAGATCTAAATTCACAATTCTGAGAAAATAAAGTAAAAATTGAGAGATATAAACTCAGAATTCTGACTTTTTTCTCACAATTCCAAGTTCATATCTCACAATTATGACTTTTTTTCCCCCTCAGAATTGCCAGTATATATCTCTAAAAAGTACTGGAAATCGATGACACCGGAAGCCTCGCACATTCAAATGGCCACAAGCGCTTTTAGACTAAAAATGAGGTGGACAAACTTTATAATATAATTTATGATATACAAATATAATAAGTATAAACTTACAAAGTACTGAAAGGGAAATAGTGGGCGATGTCCCCATGCTGAACACGTTCCATGCAGTACAGTAGTACTGTCCGGCATGATGGGAACGCACGCTAGGGAAGGTGAGATTTTGCACAGTGCCTTTGGTCCAGGGCTGACTGCCTTTCACTTTGTACCAGGCATATTTCTCTATGGGAGGGTTAGCACTGCTGCTGCAGGTCAGATTGACAGCAAACCCTTCCATGATGTCTCCTTTAGGACTGATGAGGATTCTTGTGTTTTTTGGGGAGTCTGGAAACACATGTAAATATATTTTACAATACATCAAAGCATAGAATAAGTCACACCGTCATTGCTCACAAATACACGTACTGTTCAAATGTTTGGGTAAAGGTTTTGGAAAGATTTGTTTGTTTTTGAAAGAAGGCTGCATTTATTTGATCGAAAATACAGTAAAAACAGTAACACTTTGAAATATTATTTCAGTTTTTTTTTTTGTATATATTTTAAAAAGTAATTTATTCCTGTGATCAAAGCTGAATTTTCAGCATCATTACTCCAGTCTTCAGTGTCACATGATCCTTCAGAAATCATTCAAATATGCTGATTTCCTGCTCAAGAAAAATGTGTTATCAATGTTGACAACAGTTGTGCTGCTTAATATTTTGTGGAAACCATGATACAGTTTCTCAGAATTCTTTGATGAATAGAATAGAAAGAACAGCATTTATTTAAAATAGAAATATTTCATAAAATTACAAAGATCTTTACTTTCACTTTTGATCAATTTAATGTGGAAGCCTATTTCCGCCAAGGAATAAAAAAGGTAATTGTGACTTTTTATCTCACAATTCTTTGTTTTTTTTTCTCGTAATTGCACATTTATATCTTGCAATTCTGACATTTTTTTTATTTTTTGTTCTGAGAAGTTCTTAACATGTTGCTATGTGGTTGCTAGGGTATTTTAGATGATTGCTTATTTCTCACTCCAAAATAACCCACTTAGATATAGTTTGGTTCCCCTTTTCAATCATTTACAAGGTGAAATTTCAACATTTTGAAAAGAAGTAGCATACGTGTCCTACATAAACTGGACAATGTGAGGTATCAATCATGCCCATGGCCTAAACAATGTGGGATGAGTCACGTACCAAAGTTTAATACTGAATCATTTAAACACACCCCTAACCCTAAGTATGACCAATGCTAGTAGTACTAGTGATGTTTGACTTAACAAGTGAAAACAGGAAGTAAATACTCCTTTCATGGCTGAGCATCATGTGGTTTCCCGATTTGCCCTATATTTGTACACTTGATTTGAACTTTGATCTATTGGAGGGTGGCAGACAATGTGACATAATGTCCTGCCAAAATTAAAGTTATTACACAAGTACCAGCAACTGAAATAAATCTCTGCACTCACAAAGACATCAGATCAGCAACAGTGGAAACATATGTCTGATTAGGGAAATTAAAAGTTCAAATGTCTGGTGACATTTCCAAAATAGGAAATCAGGAAATGATCCTACTCACTGATAAACTGCACATCCTGCAGTTAAAAAGCTTCAATATTTAGAGATGCATGCTGAAAGGTTCTTTAGAATATCATATTCTTTAAACTAAGAAATGGTTCTTTTATTAACCGTTCACTGAAAGGTTCTTTGGGAAACCCAAAATGTTTTTCTATTGCATTGCCACAAAACCCCCCCTTTGGAACCTTTATTTTTAAAAGTGTATGCAAACAGACCTGCAATGCTTAAATCATTTTTTTCTGGCTACATAAAAATAGAGGCAACCTACAGGTAACATTCAGTAAAATCGGTCTGGACCGGTCTGTGCCGAGCGGGTTACGGGCCACACAGAAGTACTCTCCATGGTCCCTGTAGTCCAAACTCCACAATCTCAGCTCAGGTCTAAAGCTGTCTGGCACACTGCCACTCTCTCCTTCTTTAAACCAGGCAAAACTTTCTGCTGGCGGAGCTCCATCACTACTGCAGGTCAAAGTCACCGAATCGCCCTCTCTGACTGCCTCTCGGGGGGTGATCTGTATCGTGGTGTAGCGAGGAGCATCTGAGACACAGAGAAAGAGAGAGGTGAAATGCAATTTCTAATGGGAGAGGGCGGCTGACAGTAGAATTCAGTTGAACACCCGGCTTAAATCACTGTATTTACAGTTTTATGTATTTAATACACAATATTTAATGCACAGCTGATTCCTTGAATAGCTTTTTTTACTTGATATTGAATAATACATGTATAAATTCAGCTAATTTAGATGTTACCACATGCAGTATGTACTATTCAATTATGTTTTGTTGAACATTTATTTCTTTTTTCTTATGCTCACCAAGGCTGCACTTATTTGATCAAAAATGCAGTTAAACAGTAATATTGTGAAATATTTTACACTTTAAAATAACTATTTTAAGCTGAATTTTGCCATTACTACCATGTTCAGTGTCACATGATCCTTCAGAAATCATACTAATATGATGATGATGATGACATTTTATATATATATATATATATATATATATATACTAACTACACATACAGAACTATTGTCTATATCCATGCACAATACTCACATCCAAGAGCCAGGGTGACTCCCGGTGACTGAACGTTTTGAGGTGGTATTGGACGGCAGGTGTAGGTACCTGCATGCTGACTGTCAAAGTTATAGATGGCTGACAGCTTGTTGGACTGACCCAAATT